TTATCATACATTTACTTCATTTTTTAACTTGGCCTTCTAGTTTAAAAGTTGACTTTTTTTCTTTTGAAATTCTTTGATACCGCCTGGGAATCTGTCGGATTAACATTCATATCTCCATTCCTCCTCTTCTAAAACTCTGACATCTTCATATAGTCTTTCCCTTTATCCCTGAGTCCTACCAGCATCCTGAGTGAATTCAACGTTCACATGAATAAGCCATTCATTCCTCCAGTGCCCCACTCCAATGTCTTAGGCCTCACCCCAGTTACCTTTTCTGCCCCACCTCTGCCACACACTCCCATGGTTATTTTGGGGGCTTTTTCATCGCATATAAACACTGACATATCTCATCCACCTCCAGCTCTTCAGTTGTCCACAACCCCAGTCATTCTAGCATGCTTTGCCGCTATGACTACTTAGGAGGTTTCTTCGACCATTTGGGCCTTCCAGTCAGATGAAACTCTGGTCTTGTACTTTTTTTTCAATCCATCACCACATTCCTGCCTTTACTTCCCTCCTTGTGTAGCTTTGTTGTCAGGCCCAACATTTTAGTATCTCTCTTACCAGTCACCTGAATTCCTTTGACCCTCCCAAATGGTAGAACCCCACCCTGGAGGAAACCAGTTGCACATTGCCTGTGCCAATAGCTGATCACCTTTGGAAATGTCACACATGAGGGCATATTGGTTCTTACTAGGAAATTATGACTATCAACTACAACTAGATCCTTAGCACTATCTTGTTTTTGTTTGGTCATCTCACTTTCCATCTCTGCAATCCATATTAAACCTTTTTCGCTCTTTTCAAACCACTGTCCCTTCCTTACCACCTTATGCCATCACTTTCAGCAGCTGGCCTTGCCTCTTCTTTGAGTTTATCCTCTTGGTGCTTGTTAGGCATTTTGGATGTGTAGATGTATGTTTTCTATCAAATTTGGGGACTTTTCAGCTATTCTTTCTTAAAATACTTTCTGTCCTTATCTCTCCTCACTTCTGAGTATCCCATTATTTCTGTGTTGGTATACTTGATGGTGCTCTCCAGGTCCAGGTTCCTACATCTGTATTAATTTTTCTTCTTTTCTTTTTCCATTCCTCAGACGAAATAATCTCAATTGTCCTATCTTTTTTCTTTTCTTTCTTGAGTCTCATTCCATCACCCAGGCTGGAGTACAGTGGCACGCTCTCGGCCACTGCAGCCTCGACCTGCTGGGCTTAGGTGATCCTTTCACCTCAGCCTTCCAAGTAGCTGGAACTACAGACGCATGCCACTGTGCCCAGCTAGTTTTTTTGTGATTTATTGTAGAGACAAGGTCTCACCAAGTTGCCCAGGCTGGTCTTAAACCCCTGGGCTCAGGCAGTCCTCTCGTCTCAGCCTCCCAAAGTGCTGGGATTGCAGGCTGATCCACCATGCCCAGCCTGTATTCTTTGTTAAGTACAGCTACAAAAGTCTCTGTTCCATTAGCTTAGTAATCAGTATTTATTGGACAGAGATTTCCTCAAATGCCTGAATCCCAGACACCTCCCATTCTTTGCCATGGACTGTCTGTGCATTTTGGGGAACACTTTCAACACTCAGTGAGGCAATTTACAATTTGGTTTTAACCTTCATTTCCTGTTTGTGCACAGCCTCAAGTTCAGCCAGAGATAAGAGTGCTGAGGCTTTCCCTGGTCTTTCTTGAGCATGGGTAGTCTTATGCCTGCATATGGCCTTCTAGTTTCCCAGGAACTTGTCAGATATTTTCTTTTTTTTAGTTGTAACTGGACATTTTATTTTAAAAAGTTAGTGCTCATATACACAGACGAATATGAACTTAAGATTTATCATACATTTACTTCATTTTTTAACTTGGCCTTCTAGTAAATCTTTAGCTTCATTGATTTTGACTGCTATAAGGAGATCCTCTTCTGTCTGAATGATTTAGGAGCATAATTCATCCGTGAGCATCTCTTATTTTTCCTTTATCGGCAATAGCGCTTACACCTAGTATTAATGCTGCTTTCCGTGTTGTCATTTTGGGTTCAGACCTGCCTCTCTAATTGCTACCACTGAAGGCAGATGTTGGTAGATTTTGAAAAACTTGTTTTACTTGAGGCCTCATATGCTTCATGGCTTGCAAAACACATTGACCTGCAAATCCTGCAGCGGCAGTGGTGAGTCCAACTGCTACCACTATACTGGCCTCTACAATAGTGAAAAAGATGATTCCCTCCCTTTGAAAACTTCTTTCATCCCCAGGCAAATGAAGTCACATTAAAATTCAATCAAGAGCAGTAGAAGTAAGGTTTCATGCCTCCACCAGGAGCATGGCTCATACCAGTGCATAGATCATGGCCAGCATCTACTCTCCTTTACCAGACAGTGATGCAGCAACCAACAGCAGATACAGAGCCCAACACAGGTGCCCACCAATTTTCAAAACCCCTATACAGACATTTCATTCTCCAGCCTTTCCTGCTAAACTTTTCGATTAGTCTATTGTTTGCCCCCACTGTTATCCCTTGCCTCGGACAGCAGCAACTAAAACATTTACCTGTACAAATTTTCAACAAACATCCCTCAGAGATTAACTTTAGCACTGGGCAGGTTTGAATCAGGTGAAATAAAGATAGCCTTTCAAGTGGCATCTTCTAGGGATCCACCCGACAGATAGTCTATCTGTGAAATAATAATTGTTATTCAGAATGAGACTTTGAAAGATTTCAACTCATTCTTTCCCCTGGAGTTCTGGAAATATTGGACTGTAATTTTTCAAGTTTGTTGCTAAATTGGAATCAAGGGGATGGTATTAAGGCAAGTTACAACACTGCAATGCTTGCTGTTCTTACCAAATTTGGCCATCTTTCTTGAATAAGTGCTCCCTAAGTTATTGCAAGGCTTTGGTTAATTTCCAGAATTCTGAAGAAGATTGATTCTGACAATATTTGCCAGCTTCTGACATTTCTCTTTTTACTATGAATGGGACATACTTTCTTGTCTCTTTGTATGCTACGTAATTTTTTGTTGTTGTTGAGAATTGCACATTTTGAATGCTGTAATATGATGACTCTGGATATCAGATTCTTTTTCCTCTCCAGTTGTTGTTCTTGCTTGTTAGGCTATAGCTGTCCATTTATTGAGCAACCTTTCCAAACTAGTTTTACAAAGACTAGATTACCTGACAGAGATTTCCATAAATGCCTTGACCTAATTTTTAAAAGTTGACTTTTTTTCTTTTGAAATTCTTTGATAGGTACCGCCTGGGAATCTACCTCATCCCAAAAGGCCTCTGTGCCAGCCCCTTAGTGGAACCTCCAGGTCGATCAAAACACTTTTGAGTTTTGGAGGACAAGGTTCTTATTGCCCAGCCTGGTATCAGTAAGTCACACCAGGAATGATGGCAGCCATTCCCTATAGCTGCCTGCCATGGGGCTGGGTGATGGGAAAAGGTAGCTGCTATTCAAAATGCCAAAATCCACCCTTGTTTACCAGACCCTATTTTCATCCCCTTATCATTACAAGCTTTTGACTAAACTCCAGGGTTCTGAAATACCGGATTCTGGCATTGCTTGCCAGTTTAGTAGTTGCTCTGGTGAAGAGACTGACTCTTAAGCTTCCTATTCTACCACCTTCCATGTCACCTGAATGGAGGCTTCTCATTCAGGTGACATTCTGGCTTGGGTCTCATTCTTTTGTAGGAGAAAATTTTTTTCTAGAAAGCTTTCAGATGTTATTTTTGACCTTGTGTGTGCTTAGGCGTAGGGGAGTCTTTTTTCTTCTGTTGTGCTTACCACTTTGTAGACTTTCAGTCTGCAGCATTGGACTTTTCTTTAGCTCTAGAAAATTTACCTTTCATACCTTTTCTCTGTTCTTTCCTTTTGGAATTCTTTTTTAGATAAATGATAGAACGTATGGATTAACCTGATACATCTCTTTTCTCTCTCTTCTTCTATTTCTTTGTGTTTTGGGATATTTCCTCAACTTTATCTTCCAGGTTGAAATGTAGTCTTTAGCTGGGTTCATTTGTTATCCAGTTTTTAAATAAATGTTTTATTTTAGTGTACATAGTTTTCATTCCCAGTCACTTTTCCCCCAATTACTCCTTTTCCTTAACTATTTGTTGTTAGCTTATGAGTGTCTCTGAGAATAGTAATTATAACTAAAAATTTTTTTCTCTTATGTTCTTTGCATTCTTTCTGTTTCCTATTCTGTCAGTGGGCTTATTTTGGTCTTTCCCTTTTTATGCTGTTGGTTTTCCTCAGCATCTGGTGAACATTGATTTAATGTTTATATTACTGAATGAATACAAACACCACGTTGTTGTGGTGATTAGTAAAGATAGTGTACATGTTAGGTAACTTTGCAGCCTTGTGGGTCTGGTCTAAAGAGGTCACTCCTCTGAGTGAGAGTGCCTTGTAGGCTCTGTCTAAATTGATGACACCTGTTGACCATCAGGCTTCCCTGCAGGGTGCATGGGAGGGAGCCGAAAGTCATTTATCTTGGGAAGGACACTGTGACCTGTTTCATGCATTGAATTCATCCTGGCTGGATCCATTGTATGGGTCTTGTTACCTCAGCCTCTGCTCTGCTATGTTCCTCACCCCCTCTGCAGAACCTCCCAGGCAGGTCTCCCGTCCTAAGTGAACAAAGTTCGGGCTCTCCCTAAGAAAGCAAATGCTTCCTATATGAACACTGACCTTCAATTCCATTTTTGAGGAAGACGACTCCCATACACAGGGCTGAAATCTGCTTCATGTTCTTCCCGGTCCCCACATTATATGCCCAGAAACAGAGCTTAAAGAATCACCCTCAATAGCGGCAGCCTAGGCCATGTTCCTTTTAGCCTAAATTCTATATAATAATACATTTTGAATCAGTAAGGTTTCATTATGCGCTTTGTCAAAAAGAAGTGTACTGTGTGACTGAATTGACTGATCAGTTTTTTCAGGTTTGTCAGACCATTAATTGGTATTCCACTTAAGCATGATTTTTAGATCATTGATTACTTTCTTTTCCTCCAACAGAGATGTCGTTTCTCTTGTGAGCCAAGTGATGCCTATTTTTGCTCCCTTTCATATATTTGATGCCCTTGCAGTGAGTATTTAGAGCGATATTACATAGCAAAATCCATTTTGGGTCTCTAACTTTTTCATTAAAAATTAAGTGCCTGTGATTTTGTCGTTGTAAAGAGAGAGCTGTTGCTTTAAGCAGTCTGAGCCATTTGAGGGAGGATGCCACTACCTCCTCTAACTTTGTCTCGGCCTCCTTCAACTTTGGTGCCTAAACACCCTGTGTAGTGTCCAGCCAAGTGGAGAGGTGACCTGTGCCTGACTTCTCCAAGGCAGGCCATGCTCTTTGCATTAACTCTGACCGCTAGAAAGTCCCTCTCTACGCTTGTCTTTTGTGAATTCACAGGTATGTAAAGATCCTTTGCTGTACCCCAAAATCATCCCTTCGTGCTTGCTCACAGTTTGAACAATTATTCCTCAGACCATCATTTCTAGGCCTGTTTGTCACCTTGATGTGATGATACTGTAAATAAGGAGGCTGCAATTGCATTAATATTTTTCAGTCATGACGTTAGACTAACTTCTCCTGAGATACCATCAATGAAACCTCCACATTTTAAAAAAATGTATGCTTTGCACTGGGCTTGGTGGCTCAGCTTGTAATCTCAGCACTTTGGGAGGCCGAGGCGAGTAGATTGCCTAAGCCTGTGGGTTCGAGACCAGCCCAGGCAACTTGGTGAGACCTCCTCTCTACAATAAATAAAAAAATTAGAGGCCAGGTGCAGTGACTCATGTCTATAATCCCAGCACTTTGGGAGACTGAGGTGAGAGGATTGCCTGAGCCCACAGGTTCTAGACCAACCTGGGCAACTTGGCGAGACCTCATCTCTACAGTAAATCAAGAAATTAGCTGGGCATGGTGACATGTGCCTGTAGTTCCAGCTACTTGGAAGGCTGAGGCAGAAGGATTGCTGGAGCCTAGCAAGTTGAGGCTGTGGTGGCCAAGAGCGTGCCATTGCCCTCCAGCCTGGGTGGCAGAGTGGGACTCCAACTCAAAAAGAAAGATTAAAAAAAATAAAAATAAAAAATTAGCTGGGTGTGGTAGCACATGCCTGTAGTTCTGGCTTCTTGGAAGGCTGAGACGGAAGGATCACCGGAGCCCAGTGAGTCGATGCTGTGGTGGTCATGTGTGTGCCACTGTACTCCAACCTGGGCGACGGTGAAATTCTGACTCAAAAAAAAAATTTATGCTTTGACAAAATATCTTTAACTAATCAAAATGAATAGTCAGAGATTTAAATAATGTTATCCCACAGGTTTCTGATGGAAGCCAGTGACTTTTTATTGTTGTTAATATAACTTGATTTTTATATGTTTATTATTTGTTTGAGACAGGGTCTCACTCTGTCACCCAGGTGGGGCACAGTGGCACCATCATGGCTCACCACAGCCTCAACCTCCTGGGTTCGGGTAATCTTTTCCCTCAGTCTCCTGAGCAGCTGGGATTACAGACATGCACCACTATGTCCAGCTTTTTTTTTTACTTTTTGTAGAGAGGGAGTCTTGGAGTCTCGGTATGTTGCCTAGGCCGGTCTCAAACTCCTAGGCTCAAGCGGTCCTCCCACTTCAGCCTTCCAAAGTACTGGGATTATAGGTGTGAGCCACGGTGCCTGTCCCGTTACTGACATAACTTTAGAAACAAAATGTTTTTTGTCATCTCTTACGTGATGTCTATGCCTGTTTTGAGATAGAGTTATTTGAACATAACCAAACTTGTGCAATATTAATGTAGTATTCTGAACTTGATATAATGATAGCTACATGACTGCAATGTTGGTTTTGGTTTTCTTCTTCTTAGGGCACCTGTGGTGGAGTCCTGAGAGGTACAGGAAAACAAAAGATTGGTGCTATCTTGAATGCCATTGGTTACTATGTTTTGGGTTTTCCCATTGGGGTATCTCTGATGTTTGCTGCTAAACTTGGGATAATAGGTATGTTTTTGATTCCTCAGTGACTTGCCTCAAATCTCATTTTTCATAGTAAGATAAATTGCTTGAAATACAAAGCAGTCAACTGGAATGTTGCCCCTGTGGAACAGAAAAGATTATTATCTCTTCCAATATTTATTCAATGCCTCCTCTGTACACATACATTGGAAATGCAGTAATGAACAAAGTAAACATGGTCCTACACTGAGGAAGAGACCCAGATTAAATAATTAATCATACAGTTAGTCAATTACTGTTGGTTAAGAACTGCAAAAGAGAAGAACAGGGTTCTGTAAGGGCCTATGAGAAATTGTAGGGTACATCTGACCTGCTAATTTCATTTTCCTGCATAATGCCTTTAGTAATACAATAAATTATAGTGGTAATAGTGGAAATTTCTTGTCTTATTCATAAGTGATAATGCTCCCAATATTTCTCTGTATTGAATGCTGTATTTTAGGCTGAAATGAACACATACATAAATATGTATGTGAGTGCATATGTTTTTTGAAATCATGTTCAGGAAATATACATGGTGTATTGATTATTTGTAACAAAAATGGTAGAATATTTTGTCAAATGTCTTTCTAGTGCCATTAGAAGTGGTCTTATAATTTTTCTCTTGGGATCTATTATGAAGATAAATGTTACTAATTTGTCTCTTCATATTGAACTATCCTGATTATATGTTATTCTTTTGCTGAGCTGCTAAATTCTTTTTTGTTAATATTGCATTAATATTTATAAGTAAGATTGATTCATTTTATTTTTTTGTGTATCTTTGTTAGGTTTTGATGTTAATGATATTAACACTATATTCACTTCATAAAGACAATTATCTGTTTTATGAAGGTTTGATGGAATTCTTTTATGACACTTTTATGACCTGGCATTTTGAAGTTTATCCTTCTTAAAGCTTTCTCAGTTTCTTCTCTGAAAAGTAGTCTGTTTAGACTTTGCTTTATTATGTCAATAGGAGTAAATTATATTTTTTCAGAAAATCATTTTGTTGAGGTTCTAAATGTAAAGATTTGTGCTAAACAATTCATTATATGCTTTTGGGATAAGTTGTTATGTATGGTTTTGCATATATATATCTACATCTACATTTTCTGAAGATTTCTTCTAGCAACATTTAATTTGTTTTCTTTCTTTTTTTTTTTTAAGCAGGATTTATTGAGAGGACAGAAAAGTTCCCACAGTGGGAGGGGACCCAAGGGGGGTGCCCTTGTTTTCTGTTTTTGAAAGTCTAAGTGAAAAAGTGGATGAATGCAGTGATATGTATTTGAATAGCTCCTTTTGTTCTATAGCCAACCAGTACATTTTTACCATGTAAAACATTCTGATTCTGTCCCAATTACTTTGTAAGATATTAATTTTGCAGCTTTCTTATGTCCACACAAATACACAGGAGCTTAGTTTGTTTTTTGGTTTTTTGATTCGGAGTCTCACTCTGTTACCATGGCTGGAGTGCAGTGGCACGCTGCAACCTCAACTTCCTAGGCTCAGGTGATCCTTTTTGCCTCAACCTCCCAGAGTGCTGGGATTACAGGCAGGAGGGTCTTAGCTTCTTTTTTTTTGTTTGTTTGTTTTTGAGTTGGAGTCTCACTGTGTCACCCAGACTGGAGTGCAGTGGCCGCTCCTGGCCACCGCAGCCTCGACGCGCGGGGCTCCAGCGATCCTTCCGCCTCAGCCTTCCAAGTAGCTGGAACTACAGGCACGCACT